GGGGTTGCTATGAGTCGGAAACGACTTGACGGCACTTAACAACAACAACAACAACAACCCCTTAAGCCTTTGGCAAGTTCTTAGCCAATGTCCATCACACAGGCAGGAATTTTGTCTGGTTTTCTGAGTGTTGTGTCCTCAGAGCCACATAGGACCATAGATAGCCTCATAATATATGGTTCGAAAATCTTTAAAGGATGAACATATATTGCGCTATCTTCCTCAGGCTGCTATACCAAACTATCACAAAATGGGTTGGCTTTAAGGAACAGAAATGTATTGTCTCACAATTCTAGAGAATGGTGTTTCTGTGTGCCCTTGAGTCTATTCCGATGCATAGTGACCCTAAAGAACAGAGTAGAACTGCCCCACAAGGTTTCCAAGGCTAAAAATCTTTCTCCCATGGAGTGGCTAGTGAGTTTGAACCATCAACCTCCCAGCTAGCAGCTGTGCCACCAGGGTCCCTATTTCTAGAGGATAGGGTTCTGAATTCAGGACTACGCTCTAAGGAAAGAGTCCTCCTTGTTTCTTCCAGCTTCCAGTAGCCCCAAGGGTTTCTTGGTGTTCCTTGGCATGTAAACGCACCTCCCCCTGTGTCTGTCTGTCTTTCTCTTCTCTTTTATGAGGACTGTACTCAGATTGTATTAGGATCCATCCTACTCCAGTATGACCCCATGTTAACTGATAACATCTGCAATGACCCTGTTTCCAAACAAAGTCACACTCATAGGTACTGGGGTGGGGGGCTTAGGACTTCAACATATCTCCGAGAGGGACACCATTCGACCTCTAATGTATGTTATTATTGTTTGGGGGAGATGGAGCCCACCAATAGACAAAATTCCCCAAGCTAGTGTGATAGACTTCACAGTAGAGGGCAGACCCAGACAGGGTTGTCTGTAACCCTGATGGAGCTTTTGGGGGCCACAGTTACAGGGGGACAGCTTCCAGGAGGGTAGCCATCACAGAGCCAGTTCAACATACTCCTAGATGGGCACAGTACACAGCCAGTGAAAATCATTTTGAGACAGAGAAAGCCTTCTTCCAGGAATGCATCAAGCATGATGTGTTTCCTTCCCTTGTTTAATATAATATAATTTGTCTTCTGGAAAAGGAGCCTGAAAAGTTTGGCATGACTTGGGAACAATGAATGGACAATGGCCACAATTTATGAAGTATAATTTGTCTCCTACTAGAAAGAAGAGAACTGTGTGTTGCATGCTGAGTGCAGAAAGACTTCAGGGCCAGCAAGGGGCCTTTCTCAGAAGGTTTCTTTGTGGTGGGTGCTGAGGCCAGATGGCTAAATGCCACATGGCCTCTACCACCTGGGATTCTGTTTGGGAAATGGGAATGCAATGCTTGCACTGCTCTCATTTGAACAACTACTTCAAAAACTTCAATTTCACAAGGATTGGGGCAGGGACGAATCCTTGGTGGTAGGGGAGGGGAAAGTGTCCCTCTCAGCCAATTTCAACCAAGCTTCAAGTTCAATGCTCCGGGTCCACGTGGCCTAGGCTCCTTGCTGGGGGAGGGGAGGGTTTCAGGATCAGGCCCCCATGGCTCATGGGAGGAGTAAACCCTTTGCCACTCCAGTCTCAAGGGAGGAGCTGGGAACTTCTCAACACAACCATGTCCCAGGCCTCCTTGGAGGTTTGGCTGTGGAGGGAAGAGCCACTCCCCCCCCTCCACTCCCATGGGATTTATGGGAATTCCTTACCACACGAGTTTAGATATTAACTCAGCCAGGACAGGCCAAGGCAAACAGTCCAGGGCTCGGGCAGCAAGAGTACAGACTCCTGAGGGCTGTGCTCCCACATCACCCATCCACCCACCATGGACGTGCCCTGGCCCCTGGGGCTGATTCTACTCTTGGGAACTCCCCTCACCCACGCTGAGCCTCTGTAAGTCTGGGGGATGGAGGGGACTCATCCAGCTTCCTGCACCTCTGGCATCTGCATGATTCCCTGCCAGTGACCCCAGGCATCATTGCGGCATCCCCATGGGAGCCCATCCATGCCCCTGTGTTTGTCTGCCGGCAGGTATATCCTGGTGACCCCTCGAGTCCTGCGGGTTGGTAGCCCCGAGAACATCCATATCCAGGCCCATAGTGACTCTGAGCAGCCTCTCACCAGGCCCTTGGCGGTGAACCTCACTATATGGGACTTCCCCGTGAAGAATACAATGGTGGCTCAGAGGCAACTCACTCTCTCACCTGGAAACCACTTTATGGACATGGCCTCCATAACGGTGCGTGACAGGCCATAAAGGGGTGGTCATAAAGGGAGGCTCTGGGTCAGCAATAAGGGTAGAGGGGGCAAACTCTGCGGGACTTCCTTGGAGGGACACTGGAGAGTAGATGCAAGGCTTAGATGGACGTACTACATCTTTCATGTCCTCTCCATTCAGGAATCAAAAGTCCTCTAAGTCTACTCCAAGAAGCGCTGCCATTTGCCCATATGGGGGTCTCAGCGTGCATTATAATGAGTCCCTGGGTGGTGCAATAGTTAACATGCTCAGCTGCTAACTGAAAGGTTGGTGGTTCGAGTCCACCCAGAGTCTTCTTGGAGAAAAGTCTGACAATCTTCTTTCAAACAGCCATTGAAAACTCTATAGAGCACAGTTCTACTCTGACACACATGGGTCAGAATTGCCTCAGTGGTAACTGATACTGGTGCATGTTGTAAAAGTTGCCCCCTGCTGGTAAGCACATTTCTTGACAAACAGGTCATGCTATGGTGAGAAGGACAAAGTGCACCTTCCTCTGGAAGGTCCAGCCCCACATCAGGATGGGTGGCATGGGGAGCTGAGTATGGACTGGATCTCTGCACTCCCTTGTGCAATGAACTATCTGCACAGCTATACATGGCAACCCTGCTCTCCAAGGCAGAGCCAAAGCCTCCTCATACGACTGCTTCTCTCAAGATCTGGCCCAGAGTTCTTCCTCTAGGGTGGGAGATCCCAGCATAGCCTGAGGAGTGTGAGCATCTCTTCTCAGATTCCTGACAGCCTGGTACACCCACCGAAACCAGGACAGCAGTATGTCATAATCCGGGCAAACTGGGTGCCCTTCTCAGTCTCCTCATTCATGGAGAAGATTGTGTTGGTGGCTCCCCATGCTGGCTACATCTTCATCCAGACAGATAAGACCATCTACACCCCTGATCACTTGGGTACAGTCCCCAGTACTCACAAGCACAGACTCCTCCCCCAACTCTCCCACAATGCCACATGGTCCCATCCCCCAAAGTCCTCTCCACCTCCCAAGGTCTCCTTCTGCCTAGGAACCCCTCCAGCCTAAGGTCTTTGTGTCTCCCACCCCTCTCCAAACTCTCTCTCCCTCCTTTTCTCTATTGAATACTTACAGTCTTCCCTCCTCCTCCAGTTCATTACCGAGTGTTTACTGTGGACCACAAGATGGATCCTGTGGCCAGGACATTCACTCTGAACATCAAGGTGGTCTTTCCTGTTGGGGGAGGGGGGTGGATCCTAGATACTGGGATTATGTCCCGAGACATATGCTGAACCACTAGGGGTGTGAACCACAAGGGCCCTCCCATAAAGCAGTCATCAGCCCCACCCTCTGTCTCCACAGAATCCGGAAGGGATTACAGTGATCAGCAAGAGTCTGCTGGCCAAGGATGGCCTCTTTGCAAGCTCCTTCAATCTCCCAGAGCTCATCAGGTGCCCTTCCCATGCTTTTACAGCTCTGGAGCACCTGAGGGCTGAGCTGGGAGCCCTAGGCATGGGATGCAGACTGTCTTCTCAGACATCTCTTCCAACCTGTGCTTTAGTTTTGGGACCTGGACCATTGAAGCCTGTTACCAGAGTGCACCCCAGCAGATGTTCAAGGCAGCCTTTGATGTGAAGGAATACGGTAAGAAGGGTGTGACCAAGAGGACAGGATGAGGCACGCAAAGAACAGAACTGGGAACAGGAAGGAGGGCTTAAGAGGAGAAAGCCTGAGCCAGACCACATGTTCCAGCCCCTGGGGGTCATCAGAGTCACCAAGGAAGGGACAGGGCAGGGAGGGGACAAGAGATGGAAGGGAAATGTTGAGAGTACTCACTACCTTTACCCTATTCAGTGCTCCCATCTTTTGAGGTCCAGCTGACCCCAAACAAGACTTTCTTCTACCTCAGTGACAAGGCTCTGGGTGTTGACATCCATGCCTGGTGAGTCATCCTCTTACCCCCAGCCTTGCCAGAGGACCAGAGACACCAAGAATCTGAATGGGCAACCACCTATGTTTCCCCTTGAGGTTATACAGACCATCTCTTCAGGTCTATAACATCGTCCGGGTCTCCTTGTCTACCCAATAGGGTCACACAGGTCACATAGGCCACCTCATGAGATTGTTCAGACCATCTTTGAAGGTCCACAAGGCTGCACAGGCCACCTTTGCCATCTTATGAGGTTGTCCAGGCCATTTCTGCAGCTCTATGAGATTGGAAATGTCACATTTTCTGCCTTATGAGATTTACAGATCATCTCCATGGCTCTATGAGGTTGTGTAGCCCATGTCTGCCACTCCTTGAAGTTGTACAGGTCACCTAGTCTGCCTGATGTGGTTGCACTGGCCACCTCTGTCTCCCTACAGGTTATCAAACTTGTATGTGGCTCCAAATGGTTACACAGCCTACCTATGCCATTTTGTGAAGCTGCACAGGCCACATCTACAACCAATGAGGCTTAATGGGACATGTTTGCCACCTCCCAGGATTCTGTGGGTCAACAATGAAACCTTCTAAGTTTTCAGGGATCACCTCTGCCTCTTACAAAGTAGCATACCCCCATGAGGTCATACAGGCTATCTCTGCAGCAACATGAGGTTTTGTGGGTGCTTCAGAGCCACTGAGATGGCCCTCCCTCTCCCAGGTATATATTCAACAAACCTGTGGATGGACATGCTCTGGCCATCTTTGGGGTGGAACAGGATTCCCGCCGGATCCCCATCCAAAGCTCCCTGCAGAGGGTGGAGGTGATTGAGCCCCGCCCCCTCCCCCACTTCCCTCCACCAGACCTTCCCTCTTTCCCTCAAGAAACCATATTCTTTTCTGCTCTCCTGTGCTAAGAACAGGTCTCTGATGGTCTCGGCCATGCCTCCCTCCAGAAAGACACTCTGATGGCTGCATTCCAAGGCCCAGAAGAGAACTTCCTTGGGGCTTCAATATATGTCAACATCACCGTGTTCTCCACAGGTGACACACTCACCTGGGCCCCTGGCTGAGGTTCCAGGACACTACATTCTTTCCCAACCCAGACACCTGACCATATGACCTTGCCCCACCTTCTAGTCTCAGTTTTCTCATGAGAGAAAAGCGAAGACACTAGAAGGGCTGGCAAGAGATGAAATTGTGCTATTGTCTTTCCCTACTTTCACCAAGATGAACCCCCATATCATATCTCCACCACTACCCTAGAATATTAAGCTTCTTCTACACACCTCCATGATCCTCCTATCTCCACAGGGGGTGAGATGGTCCAGACAGAGACCTCAGGAGTGAAGATTGTCCAGAGCCCATACAACATCAAGTTCATCAGGACACCCCAGTATTTCAAGCCAGGAATGCCGTTCCACTTTAGGGTCAGGGTCTGGAGTCACTCCACCCAGGGAATCAGGTCCCTATCCCTAAAACAGACACCCATAAAACAAAGACCCATACTGGACTCACCTTCCCCTCACAACTCATCTACGTGAGCGTTAAGTCCATCATTCCTCCCAAACTAAACCGAAGGCTGCCCCCAAGCCTTAACCTGGATCCTCCTGGGTTGAATGATGGCTCCAGAGATTCTCTAGAGAGGGTTCATGCACCACAATCAGGTTGGAAGGTGGTGCTTGAGAGTTTATCTTGCACAAGAAATGTCCTGTTTTTACACACATTAATTTGTGGGATGACTTTGAGATGTCTAAAGGGTATTAGGAAGGCAAAAGCTATCCCTGGGTGCCAACCCTACTCCATGCTTTCTACAACCTTCTATGTCTCCTCCTACCCCTCCACCCCCAGCTCACCCCCCAGAGTTCACCAAGATCCAGGGCCCCATATGTGGTTGTATACTAAAGAACTCTATGAGATATCATTCATAGAGACTCCAGAGTGGTTTCCTGGTGTACAAGGCAGTCCTATTCAGATTGCATTCCGCTGTTCTCTCCTCACATGCCAGACTACTCCCAGGCCTGTTTCATCTTACTCCAGATTCCATTCCAGGTTTTTGTCTCAAACCCTGATGGGTCCCCAGCCTCCAACATCCTCATCCACTGTGAGGACCACAAAATGCGCACCTCAGCTGATGGGGTGGCTGCTGTGACCATCAACACGAGGGCAGATCTGGACCAGCTTCCCATCCTGGTACCAACCTAATAAAGTAGGGATGGTGGGGTTGGTGCTGTGTGAGCTGGAAGTGTGGAGATTTACTTCTCCATCACTCTCCCAAGGTAAAAACTGATGAGTCTCTCCAGCCAGAGGAGCAGGCATCAGCCAAGATGATAGCTCAGCCCTATTCAACTCAGGATGGGTCAGGGAATTTTCTGCATATTGAGGTAAAGACATTGGCCCCAGAAGTTGGAAGCAGCATTCACCTGAGCCTCAACACAAAGCATCGGAACCCTGAAACCCAAAACCAGATCACCCACTTTACCCTCCTGGTGAGGCACTAAGCCAAGAAATTCTTTCTCTGGAACAACTCTAGCTAGCTGGGTTGGATGAACTATGAGCAAAAGTATGAAGGTGGGGAATGATCTGAGGTAGGTTCAGACCAAGGGACTGAGCAAAGGGTCTGTGGGCCTTCCTGACGAGCTGAGCTAGCCTCAGGGAAGGACTAACCCTACCATTTTCATTTTGGTCTCCCTTGTCTCCAAGGTCCTGAGTAAAGGTCAGGTTGTGTATGCCAAACATCAGCTAAAAGTCCAGGGAGGTGTCTACACGTCAACCATTATTGATGTGACTCCAGAGATGCTGCCATCCTTCCGCATCCTGGCCTTTTATTTACTGCCAAGGGGAGCAAGCCAAGACCCTGAGTTGGTGGCTGATTCCTTATGGATTGATATGAAAAAGAAATGCATGGGGACGGTGAGACAAATGCCTTAAAATTGTACATCATCATTATAAAGCTCCAGATATGCTCTATACAAGTTCAAGGGCTTCCAGTCTGGAGTACAGAGGAAAGGAGGAAGAGATGTGGCCTTAAAAGCTCAACTCTGGGGGGTGGGTAAGATGCAAATAAATGTGTGGAGCTAAAATTGACCTGGTGGAGTTCCCAGATGCCCCACCATAACAGCAGAGAGCATGACCTGAGAATGGAATTGGGGTAACCCCTAAAAAGCCTATGGGCCCCTCTCACTGACACATCTCTTTCTCCTGGCTCAGCTGAAGGTTGGCTTGAAGAATGAAGGAAGATTCCATCATTTTGAGCCCAACAGCAAACTGGAACTGAAGGTGACAGGTGATGCAGAGGCCACAGTGGGGCTAGTGGCTGTGGACAAGGCTGTCTATGTTTTGAACAGCAAACACAAGCTCACTCAGAAGAAGGTGAGAGCATGTGGGCTTTGGGCCAAGAGACTGCCTGGGGATTCTAGCTGGAGCCTTGGCTTCTTCAGCTGTAAATGGGCAACACCAATGGTTATGAGGACTCAAGGAGATGGTGCATAGCATAGCAACTTGCCTGTGGTAAGAGCTCAATAAATGGGAGATAGTGTGAAAGTTATTATTTGAGCCAGCAAATACAGTGCATTGTTGCTTCTTCCCTAGAGGGGTCAGACAAGCCCCTAATCCAGATTCCTCTTCTGACCCCCAGGTCTGGGATGTGGTGGAGAAGCATGACATTGGCTGCACAGCAGGCAGTGGCAAAGATAGACTTGCTGTATTTAAGGATGCTGGATTGGACCTAAAGATCAGCACAGGGATGAGCACTCTGGCAAGCTCAGGTACGGACTGGGAGGGAGGGACAGGAAGAGGGCAGAGATTTGGCAGTGCTGCCTAATGGTTAGGAGCATAGGCTTTGGAGTTAAATATACATGAGTTAAAATCCAGTCCCTTCCACTTACCATAGACCAGATACATTCCCTTTCTGAATCTCATTTTCTTTATCCCTAAAATAGAACTAACTCACTGTGTGTTCATTAAAATATAGGTTTGGCCATGTGTATCAGAGATACAAATTAACTGTGGCTTAAACAAAGTGGAAGTCATTTCTCACTTACACAGTCCAGGGACCCAGGTTTCTTCTAGCTAGGTGTTCTGCCATATTCCAAGATGGTACACCATGACCTCATGCCAGGCAGCAAGATGGAGGGAAGGAGGAAAGAGGAAGTCTCTCATCTCTCATTTGCTATAGTTCAATCACATGACCCTACATAGGGAGGGTGGGAAATGTAGTCTTTATTCTAGGTGATATATAAAAGATGATGGTTTAATTGCCAGAGGGAATAGAATGGATATAAGAGACAACTAGGAGTGTCTTCTTTCAGCTATAAATAATTATACTAATAGCCATTTCAATTTACTATTTGTAGGACCCTATGCTAAGTACTTTTACATACATAACCTTATTGGTAGAGCTATAGTATATCCATTTTACACAGCTAGGGAAATTAAGTCTCAGAAAGGCTAAGTAACTTGCTCAAAGGCACACAGCTTTTAAGTGAATCTTGAATATGAGGAGACTGTGGGATGAAATGATGTGACACATACAAAGCACTGAGTATCGAGTATTGAGTAGCACTCAGTATCATGAAAGATATTGATAATGATCTTAACAATTGCCCTCTTAGTCTTCATTTTTCCCTCTGACTCCTAGACTGGCGCTGCCCCCAGAGCCTACTTCCTAGCCGCCACCGCCGCTCTCTGAAGAGACTGGAGGCAAAGAGGAATGCAGGTCAGATACAAAGCTGGATATGTCCCAAATTACTGTATCCATCAGAGCTTAGAACAAAAAAACTTGAAATCACTCTAGATACTTCAAGCAGAAAGGGATTTAAAAAGGGGAGTTTGAGGTTTATAAAATCATTAGCAGAGCTATAGGGGTGGAAGTTGGGAGCAGCTTGATAGGACTCAAGATCAACCCGCTGCAGTTTTTACAGCTTTTACTATCCAGGAAACTGTTCATTTCTCTCATGAGGCTTGTGGACAGACAACGGAACATGGAATTATGCCCATGCAAAAACACACATGGACAGAAGCACACCCATCAGCTACCACCACTGCAGGGAAAGTGGTTTTGCTTCTCTTTCACCTTCCAAGTCTTACACAAGAGTATCTCAGCGGCAAAATCTAAATCCCACCAAGAACCCTAGTGGCAAGGGCACCTGGAAAATATTGTTTTTAGATGGCTAGTCTCTGTGACAAGACCAGTGGTGGCTCAGAGGTAGAATTCTCACCTTCCAGGCAGGACACCCTGATTTGATTTCTGGCCAATGCACCACAAACACAGCCACCACCTGTCCGTCAGGGGAGACTTGCATGCTGTTGTGCTGCTGGGCAGGATTCAGCAGAGCTTCCAGACTCAGACAGACTAGGAAGAAAGGCCTGGTGATCTACTTCTAAAAAATCAGCCACTGAAAACCTGTGGATCACAATACTTCATTCCTGCTGTGCATGGGTTCACCAGGAGTCAAGGGCTGACTCGACAGCAGCTTACAACAGCAGCCTCTGTGGCACAGGAGAGAACATACATGAGAGGAGAAATGAGTGTTCCATGCCAGTGGACAAGATCTAGCACATTCACCATCCCCAAGCCCAGGGAGTAGACAGAAAGAAGCAGCTTTCTGCTTCTGGTGGATTCTCATCCATCACTGGTGAGTTTTGGCCCTTATGAGCTGTGTGGCCCTGGGCAAGTGAGTTCACCTCTCTGTAGCTCAGTATTCTTGTCAGAATTCATCACTTGAGTTCAGTGGAAGGATTCACATTGAAGACTCATGCCATGTGCTAGGAACCAGTTGCCAATTGCCATCAAGTCAATTCCAACTCATGGCAACACCTCGTGTGTCACAGAAGAACTGTACTCCATAGGGTTTTCAGTGGCTGACTTTTCCAAAGCAGATCTCCAGGCCTTTTCCAAAGTCCCTCTGAGTGGACTCAAACATCCAACCATTTTTGATGAAGCTTGTTAATTGTTTGCACCACCCAGGGACAAATATGGGTAAATAGAGGGAAGGTATGGATGGCGTTAAAGTGGCTGGGTTCCACCTTCCTCAAGTCCAGCCCAGCCCCTCCTCTCTCGCTGCATTTCTACCCACAGTGAATGAGTTCAAGACAGAGCTGGAGAGAAGGTGCTGTGAGGCTGGGCTCCGAGAGAGCCCAGTGGGCCTGCTGTGTGACAAGAGGACCCAGCATGTCCGCCACGGCCCTGCCTGCGTGGCTGCGTTCCTGAAGTGCTGCCATCTGTCTGAGTCTCTGACTCGGGAGGCCCGGGAGGAGCACCTGGTTCTGGGGACAAGTGAGGCTGTCACGGCAAGAGACACAGGGTGGGGAACTCCACAGAGGGGGTGGGGTGTCATGTGACCAGTTCAGGATAGGAACCATAGGGGGCATAGAGTGGAAGGATCCCACTGAGGAGTTGGAGGGCTATGGGAGAGACGTGACAGAAACCATTCAGGGAGACATGGAGGGGCCCACATCTCTATTCCTCCTGCAGTGGATGATGACGAGGACTTTGATGACATCTTCGATGAAGAAATGCCCATCCGGACCTCCTTCCCAGAAAGCTGGCTGTGGAGGAAGTTTACTCTGCCTAAGAGTAATTCTGGGTAGGACTGTGGCCCTGTGCCAGCACCTGGTCGCTGGCCCTTGTACCTCATGTCCTGATCATGGACAATGACCTCAGGGGTGGCACTGACCCCTCAGGGCAGTCCCAAGAGAAAAGTCCCCCCTGGATGGGAATAAAGATCCAAGTGGGTTCCCCAAAATGATGACCCTCTAGTGATAATATCTCTAATGAGGTCAATGTGGGGGGGGGGGCCAATAATCCCCAATAGTGACCCTCAAGCCAGTGGCTCTGTCCAGGCAGCAGAAACTCAGTCACACCCTCCCCTCTTCCAGCTCCCTCTCCCATTACACCATCCTTACAAACGTGCCGGATTCCATCACCACGTGGCAGTTTGTGGCCATCAGTCTCAAGACTGGACAAGGTGACCACCCAAGCCCAGTGGCCCTGCCAAACCTGAGCCAGGTGGCCTCTGTTTAACCCCAATGCATTCTCCTGGCTCTAGGCCTCTGTGTCTCAGATCCCTTCGAGCTGACAGTTATGAAATCGTTCTTTGTGGACATTAAGTTGCCCCCCTCCATGGTCAGGAATGAGCAGGTCCAGATCCAAGCTGTGCTGTACAATTTCAAGAACCGCCAGGTCAAGGTGAGCCCAAGCCTTCCCCTCCCCACATGTTTTATCAATCAGAGCAGTCAATGTGTTTTATAAAGGGGAGGAGTCTATCAATTATGCCAATGAGTCAGTGAAGAGGTAGTCCTTTCAAAAAGTTTCTAAGGTCTCTTCTTATTTAAACCCCCCAATAACACCATCAGATGGGTACTAGTGTTGTCCTTGGTTTAGAGATGAGGAAACTGAAGCACAGAGAGGTTAAAGGGCTTGCCTGAAGTCACACAGCATATAAGTGACAGAAGGGGGTTTGAACCCAGGTAATTTGTCACCAAGGTCTGTGCTTTCAACTCTATGCTATGTTTTCACCTACTTAGGCCCCTTGGGGTGGGAAGGGGACTGTGACCCCAGGACCCAGCCATCCATGCAGCAGGAGGCCCTAACTGCTCATCTTGTCTCAGGTCCGTGTGGAGCTCCCTCACAAAGAGCACTTGTGCAGCGCGTCGAAGCCAGGAGCCCCATCCCGCCAGGTGGTGGTTGTGCCCCCCACCTCCTCCAAGACTGTGTACTTTGTGATTCTCCCTCTGGAGATGGGCAAAGTGGATGTGGAGGTTAAGGTCGTGGGCAGTGGGATCCTGGACCATGTAAAGAAGACACTTTTGATCCAGGTAATAGGTGACTCAGACCTCTTGGTCCTCTGGGCCCTGGGCTGTGTGGGTGTAAGAGAGGCAGATCACCGAGGATAAATAAACAGGCTCCCAGATGCAAGTGAGGCTCTGAAAGAATGGGTATGAAAGTTCAGTCAGTGGACTGGCTTGAGGGGTCGCCAAGTCCCCACTTCGAGGCTTTGGAGTCAGGCCAGGGTTCAAATCTTATCCTTGCTGTGTGACCTGGGACAACTTATTTAACTTCTCTGAGACCCCATTTACTCGTTTGCAGAATAGAGATAATAATCATACTTATGAGTAATCAGAGAGCTCTGAACGTATCTGACCCATCAATAATATGTTTACTTAAACAACACATGTTCATACTCTATATGCCAGGCATGGTTCTAAGCACTTTAAGAATATTAACTCATCAAATTCTCCACACGACCCTATACGGTAGGAACTATTATTATCCCCGTTTTACAGATGAGAAAGCAGAGGCACAAAAACCCAAGCCTGCTGCTGTCAAGTCAATTTGGACTCATAGCAACACTGTAGGACAGAGTAGAACTGTCCCATAGAGTTTCCAAGACTGTAAATCTTTATGGACACTGACTGCCTCGTCTTTCTCCCATGGGGCAGCTGATGGGTTCAAACCATCAAACTTCTGGTTAGCAGATGAGCGCTTAACCACTGCACCACCATAGTACTTTCAGTGGCACAGAGATGTTAAGTAATGTGACCAAGGTCACACAGCTAAGAAGCAGAAGAGGTGGGATTTGAACTCCCAGAGTCTGTGTTCTCAATAGCTAAGCAATGCTACCTCTTACTGTCATTATCATTGTCATTATTATTGTTGTTGCCTTCTCATCCCATCCCACAGGCGGGGGGTCAGATACAGCGAATGTTCCATAGCATCCTACTGGACCCCCAAGGTTTGTGAGGTCCCCATAGACCACGAGGGTTCCTAGGGCCATGTTAGGGAGGAGGGGTCTGGTCAAGTGGGCGGCAATTCAGGATCCTCCCAGACTCTGTGCATCCAGACCTCCTCAGCTCTGGAGTCTGTTTGTCACAGAAGTTGTGCCTGCTCAGGTCAGACGCAGACAGAGTTGGTGTCAAGACGGGACATTTTGAACAAGGTGCCCGACACGGAAGCAGAAGTGTTTGTCAGCGTCCAAGGTGCCTAGGATGGAGCTGCTCTTGGGAAAACAGGGAGGTGGAAGTGGGGATATGGAGCTGGCTACTGTAGAGCCTACCTGGGCAGAGGGGCAGAAGGGGCTGTATGTAGGCAGGCCTATGGGGTGACCAAGGAGCCAAGGTGGTTTAGGCCATTCCTGAATTACCCCACCTGCCTGCCTATCAGGTGACATTCTTGGTGAGACGATCCTGGGCAGCCTGACACCCACAGAGACACAGCAGCTGCTGAGGATCCCGACTGGGTGCCCCGAGCAGACACTGAGCTCCCTGGCACCTCTGATCCTCCTGACCAACTACTTGGACACCACAGGCCAGTGGGCCAAAGTTGGGGTAGAGCTCAGGGACAAGGTGACGGAGAACATCATCAGCGGTAAGAGCACCAGTGCTGGGGCATGGGTCTCAGTCCCCTTCTGGGAAGGCGTCTGGGGACTCAGGGTGGGTAGCTGGGTACACTCAGGGCTGGGGAGGCCCTCATGGTACCCCAAGACAGTAACACCCCTGTTACTGCAGATGAGCATTTAACCACTGCACCACCAGAGTACCTTCAACGGCACAGAGATGTTAAGTAATGTGACCAAGGTCACACAGCTAAGAAGCAGAGGCCATCTGGCTCAGATTTGGCAGGGCCACTGGCTTGTGGGGTCACCTTGTCCAGCCTTGAGACTGACGGCCACTGAGTTATACCAAGAGTTATATCAAACTCTGGCTCCTCACCCAGATTACAACTTGATGCCAACCCTGGGTGATCTCCAAACAGTGATACATCCTGTGGTTACACCCAGGCAGTAACCCCAAGGTTACTCCTGAACCCTACTCCTCCTCCAGACTACAACATGCTATCAGCCCCCAGGTGACCCCAACAGTGATCCCAGGCTACTTCTGAACTCTGACCCTTTTCTCAGACCACTATGTGACAATCAGCTCCCAGTTTTACCCCAATCTCCCCAGGTTATGTCATATCCAGATACTGCCCCAATCAGCGACACCCTCAGGGTTTCAGGGTTACCCCCAAGTAACCTCAGGGAACACACAAGCAGAAATTCTTAGACTCATCTTAGGTGGCCTCCCAGTGACACCTGAACACTGACACTGGAACCCCCAATTTTATACCCAGACAGTAAGCTCCTAGGTAACCTCAGGTAATAGTCAAGCAATAATCCTCAGAATATGGTTCAAGAGGTGTCCCCCAGATTACACCCAGCAGTAACTTCTTCTAATCTACACACAGAAACAAAGACACTCCTTGTTTACATAAAAAAAAAAAAAAACAGGTTATGGCCCTTCAGGTTATACTCCTTCCCAAGTTACACCCGGACACTTCTAGGCTTAATCCAGGCAGCGACTCCCCAAGTCACACCTGGAGAAGGGCCTTCTCGAGAGTAGCCCCGCATGGCAGATTACCAGGTTACTCCCAGACTACGACACCTGGAGACTGGTACTTCTCCTCCAGATACACCTACCTCCTCACTGATCACACCAAAACTGAAACCTCATTGACTCCTTGGCCCGGAAGCCCCCTCTGTAATACACAAGGACAACATATCTCTTCCTCCATGTTACAGCTAAATGGGATGCACACCCAAATCTTACCTAGACCCTATCTTCCAGATTATTCCTGATAACAAGACACACCCCATCATAAGCCACACCCAAACACCATCTCTCCCTGCAAGTCCCCCTCCACCTGTTTCCCCAGGTTACACCCGGATGCTGACTCACCGGAGTTCAGACGGCACCTACCACATCCACAAGGGAAACCCAGGAAGTACTTGGTGAGATGGTCACCATTAGTGCTGCCACCACCTCTCCAGACACCAAGGGGCCAGCCTGAGACAACACTGCTACAGGGTCTCGGGGCAGGCAGCCCAAGGAACCACCGACAGACCAGTAGCATTCCACACTGGTCAACCAGGGGAGTGACAGGGAGTGTCAGGGTGCTCAGTCTGGGGCAGTGTGACCCATGGTGTGGGCTCCCCTGTGGGCTGGAGATGGTGTGAACATCCCTGTTCCAGACTTCCTTGGCCACCATTCCCAGTCATCACCCTTCCTCCCACCAGGCTCACGAGCTATGTGTTCCGGATCTTCGCCCTGGCCTCCAAAATCAGCGTGCTCAACCCGAACTCTCTCTGTGATGTTGCCCATTGGATCATCACCCAGAGGCAGATGAAGGACGGGCACTTCATAGAAAAAGGCCCTGTGGTCGTGAAGTCCATGCAGGTGCCCACTGCCCACTGCCCAGGCCCATCAAGAGAAACCCTGGGTTCTGCCCACTGATGGGAGAATCCCAGAGTCCTGACCACTCAGGTAGAATGATAACAGGAATAAGCCAAAGCTCAATGGCTGGGATCACATCCCCTTCTCTGCAGCCTGTGGTCCGTTACATTGTGAGGGGAATGGGAACATTTGGGATCCTTTCTCTCCCTCATCCCCACATCAAGCACTCACCAGTCCTGACCCTCCTCATTGGACCCGAGTCCTCCCAACCAATGCATCCATCCCCCCCACCACTCCACCACACCAGCCTCCAGAAGCACAATCACCTTTTGTGACTCACAATCACCTACTACAGTCCCCCATGTGCTACATCTCTTTTCCTCTGTATCCCTCAAGTCTCACTCTCACTACTCCCTGCCTCACACTTAACTGCTTAGGGAGGGGCTTTGAACCCCATCTCCATGTCTCTGCTTACACTGCCCTCTCTGCCTGCAATCACCTTGACCCATCCCTTTCCCACACACATCCCCAATTTAGTCAAATCATGCTTTCCCTTGAGATTTAGGTTAGATACCACCTCCTCCAGGAAGTCTCCCTTGAATACCAGTCTGTACCTGCATCTATCATTGGACCCAGCAAATTATGCATTCATCCATTCAGTCAACAAACATTGATTCACCAATTTCTAATACCAGGCCTTGTGCTAGGCAGAGAAGACAGATGGCAATAAGGAAGCCAACTATAGCCCCTGCCCTTGTGGAGGAGACAGAAGTTTATCAAATAATTACAACCAGCAATTGTTTGAATCATGACTGTGCTAAGTTCCATAACAGAAAAATACAGAAGAGGATTAGGCAAGGGGCCATGCCTGGCCTTGGAAGTGTCAAGAGAAGTCACCAAAAGGAAGTGACGATAAAGCACTAGTGTTCAGGAAAACTTACCAAAGGAAATGAAAGATGTGGTAGATTTAAAGTGTTATGAAAAAAATTATACAGGGAAAATGGATTAGGGTGATGAGAGTGTAATTGTGTAAGGCTTCATGAGGAGATGAAGGTATTTGTACAAAGACCTGATGAGGTGAGGGAGCAATTCATGTGGGTGGGCATCAGGAAAGAGTGTTTCAAGCAGAGAAAACAGTATGTGCAAAGGTTCTGAGGCAGGACTGTGCCTGAGTTGCTTGAGGAACAGTGAGGAGGCCTGTGTGGCTGGAGTGGAGTGAGCAAGTGGGAGAGAGAGGGTGAGGGGGACAGGAAGAGACAGGGCAGGGCCTTGTGGGCTTGGCTTTTCCTCTGAGGAAAGTGGGAGGGCAGTAGCAGAGGAGGGATGTGACCTGACTCAGGTGTGCACAGGCTCCATTAGCCACTGTGGAAGGAAGAGGCTGTGAAGGGTGAAGGAGGAAGCCGGGAGACGGAAGAAGTGTTTGAACCCTGAGTCAGTCATTTACTAGCAATGAGGAGACTTCGCCCTCTCTGATCCTCAGTCTTCTCATCAGTGAAGGGCTGTGGTGATGATGCTCTGAGATTAATGTAGAGAGCTTACCATAGCATCCTCTCGGCAGTTAGCTTTTGTCAATAGGACAGAACTCACACAGGCAAACTCCAAGACAGTGCCCCATCTCTCTCCCATCCCACCTCCAGCATCATCCAGCCTCGAACCGGGCACCTGGGAAGTTTTCAAAGGCAGGCAGGAGAGGTTGGGGAAGGTGTCCCCAAGATGCTGAAGGGAGCAGGAGTGTGGCTTTGTATCCACAGGGTGGCTACCGAGGCTCCGAGGCAGACATATCCCTCACGGCGCTTGTCCTGATCTCCCTGAACGAGGGGAAGGAGTTGTGCGGACAGGAAGTACTGGTCCTACAGAAGGGGGGCCAAGATGCAGGGTGTCCAACCACCTGGGACAGGGAACTGCCCCCCTCACTCCCCCCCCCCAGTGGCTCCCTCTTCTCTAGCTGCCAGATCCCCTATCCCCTGATCACTTTCCTCGGTCTTCCTCCCTCTGACCCCCTAGAACTTGACTGGCAGCATCAACAGAGCCCGTGACTTCCTGGAGAAACAGCTTCCTGATATTAAGACAACCTTTGCCATAGCCATAGTCTCCTATGCACTGGCCCTCGCCAATAGCCCCAAAGCCAATGACCGTCTGGACACGTTTGCCAGCCATGGTGGGTGTGGGGCACTTCTTAACTAACTGTGTGCTAACCACAGTCACGGGGTGGCGTGGGGAGGGAGACGGTCTTGTGCGAGCTCAAATCAAGCAAAGTGTAGCTCATCACTTAGCATTTACTGAGCTTCTACTGTGTGCCAGAGGGCAGCGGTGGTTCAGTGATAGAATTCTTGCCTTCCATATGGAAGACCCAGGTTTGTTTTGTGGTCACTGCATCTCAAGACAGCCACCACCCATCTGCCCATGGAGGTTTGTGTGTTGCTAGGATGCTGAACAGGTTTCAATGGAGCTTCCAGATTAAGACAGACCAGGAAGAAAGGCCTGGTGATCCACTTCTGAAAAGTCAGTCAGTGAAAGCTCTCTGGATTAGTATAGTTTGATTCCATTGGGCATAGGATTGCCATGAGTCAGGGACCAACTTAATGGCAGCTAATAGCAACCACAACACTGTGTCCCAGCCCTTGAGCTCAGATCTGGAGACACTAAACTGAACAAGACAGATATAATCCCTACCCTTAGTGGTCCCCAGTCTCTGAAAGAGGTAGGCAGAACACAGAGAGATTGACTTATAATTCTAAATTGAGATACGTGCTTAGAGGATGACAAACAAGATTCATGGGAGAAGGGAGAAGAATAAGGATTGGGAGGACTGGAAGGCCTTGTGGAAAGGTGACCCTTTGACTGGGATGAATCATGCACCTATGTGAATGGCCAACGGCACCCCAAGCAAAGGGAACAGCATGTACAAACACCCTGCAATGAGGATGTGATGGGTGTGGTCAAGGATAGACAGAGGTCATAGAACTGAGAGGGCTCTGCCTCCCATGGCCTTCCCTTTCTCAACCCCCAACCAGCCTTATCTGATCTTCTCCATGCCCCAAGTCAAGAGGAATGGGGTAAGGAAAACTCGCTTACAGTTGGGTTGGAGGGACCTGGTGGAGCTTATTCCTAAGGTTTTCACTGGCCAATTCTTTGAGAAGTGGATGGCCTCTTCCTTCTTCTGAGTCTGTCTTAGTCTGGAAGCTCCACTGAAGCCTGTCCACAATGGGTGACCCTGCTGGCATTTGAAACACCGGTGGCATAGACTCCAGCTTCACAGCAACATGCAAGCCACCACCATAAGACAAACTGACAGACGAGTTTGTCTCCCTCAGTTGTTCCAAACTGTTCCGTTCAGTTCCCTGCTGCCCCCAGGCACGGGGCTTATTTGAACCTCAGTTTCCTTATCTTTGTGTAGTTGGAATCCCTGTTTTCTAGGGTTTTCTGAAAATGCAATGTCAATATACCCCCTCAGCATAGGGCTTCACATAAAGTAGGTGCTTAATAAAATGGCAGATGAGAACAATTGGGCCAGATGCCACAAGGAGCAGGCATATTGAGGTGGTTGGGCCCAGCTGTGGCTGACAAGATGGCATGCCTCTTCTAGACAAAAGCCATTGGCCAGTGGAAGAAAAGGACTGGTACTCCTTGTACACCATTGAAGCCACAGCCTATGCACTGCTGCAAAAGCTGGAGCTGGGTCGGATCAGTGAGACACACACCATCGCCAAGTGGTTACTGGAGAAGCGGGAACTAGGAGGGGGCTTCCGGTCCACCCAGGTGATGTGGACCTCCAGACGTAAGGCAGCCTTGTCCAGGGGGTGGGGGTGGGGACGCTAAAAGTGGTGCTGAGGGACAGGGGGCCCCAGAATGAACCCTCATGGCTGGGGAGCTGTCTATGGTGCTGAACCATGCCCCTCTCCCAACACCCAGACCACGGTGGTGGCTCTCCAGGCCCTGACCCGCTTCCGCGAAGCTGTCCCCTTTGAGGGCGTTCAGGATCTCCACATCCAGATCAGTGCTCCCAAGAGAGCCATGAATGTGGAGTGGCTCATCGACCAGAACAATGCCTACCAGCAGCGGTCAGCAAAGGTACCACCACATTGAGGGGCAGACAGAACTCCACACAGATGTGTCATCTGTCATCTACCTCCCAAATTATCTCATAACCGTTAGAGATTTGGCTATGCTGTTCACACATTGATTCATTTGTTCCACAACCATTTCCTGGCCACCTACTGTGTGCCAAGCAATGGATATACATTATGAGAGATCTATGGCCCCTGCCCTCATGGAGCTTACAGTCCACAAATAAACAAAGACATTAAAAATATTAGTGCCTTTAAGCCTTCTAAACAGAAGGAAGGAGCTCTGGTAGTGCAATGCCTAAGGCACTTGTCTACTAACCAGAAGGCTGGCGGTTCAAACCCACCAGCCACTCCTCCGAAGGAAGGTTAGGCAATCTACTTCCTTAGAGATACTGCCTTGGAAACCCAAAGAGGGGTCGCTACTTGATGGCACACAACAGCAACAACAACAACAAACAGAAGGAAAGGGAAAAGGGTGTGTACAGAAGATAATAGTGTCTCTGGGTGGTACAAATGGTTAACATGTTCAACTGCTAAAGATGCCTCAGAAGGAAGTCCTAGCCATCTACTTGCAAAGACTCAGTCCTTGAAAACCCTAGGGAGCCCAGTTCTATTCTGATGCATGTGGGGTCTCCAAAGTTGGAGTCAACTCAGTGGTAACTGGTTGTTTGTTTTTAGGGTAAATAACCTGGGTGGGGGTAAGGAAATATCCATGAAGGAACGTGGCATTTAAGTTTCAATCATTCGACACATGTTTATCAAGCACTTACTGTGTTACAGGCACTGTTTTAGGTTCTGGGCATACAGCCCTGAATGAAACGAAACAAAACAAAATAAAAAGTCCCCATTCGGCTTCCATAAAGATTTGCAGGCTTGGAAATCCTATGGGGCAGTTTTATTCTGTCCTATGAGTCAGAATTGAGCAGAATTTTATATTTTATATTTATATAGACAATGAAGAAATGAATAAGTAAACTATGTAGTGTGTTGAATGGCTATAAGTTCTATGGGGGAAAAAAATAAGCAGGAAGGGGATGGGGGATGGGGCATCAATAAGTTGCAATTTTAGATATAGAGGGCAGAGAAGATCTCACCAAGAAGATAATATTTGAACAAAGGCCTTAAGGAGAGAGAGTGAGCCCTGTATACAGCTTATCTAGGCAGAGGAAACAATAAGCGCAAAGGTCCTGAGGCAGGAATTTTCCAAGAACAGCAAGGAGGCTAGTGTGGCAGGGAAAGGCGTGAGGGGAGGATGGGGAGAGGTGAAGGCAGGGAGGTGAAGGTGCAGATAGTGCAGGGCCTTGTGGGCCACAGGGAGGACTTTGGCTTCCACCCTGAGAGGTGAAACAGGCCATTATCTCACTTACACCATATTCATATTCATAATCACATTAAAATGGTGGTACATACAACATGGCACCAGCTGATATTTGTTAGTTAGGCACCAGGCACTGTTTTTGCATACCATCCATTCCTTAACAACACTTTAAGTTGGTACTACTATTGACCACTGGAGCTCTGGTAGCATAGTGCTTAAGTCACTTGACTGCTAACCAGAAGGCTGGTGGTTCAAACCCACCAGCCACTCCTCGGAAGGAAGATGGGGCAATCCACTTCTGTAGTGATACTGCTTCGGAAATCCAAGGAGGGGTTGCTATGAGTCAGGTCCGACTCGATGGCATATAACAACAACAACTATTGACCACACTTTACAAGTGGGGAAATGGAAGGACTGAGGAGCAAAATAATTTGTCCAAGGTCACACCTATGTTCAGTGGATAAATAGGAAGTTATCAAGATGAAGGGGGCAGGGAGGGGAAAAGGCATTCCTGGCATAGGAAACAGCATAGAGTGGAGATCCTGAAGCAGGCACAGGAATGGCTGGAGGTGAGGGTGCACGGGGGGCATAAGTCTAACAGGAGGCTGGAGAGGTTGGCAGAGTTCAGAGCATGAAGGCTGGGGGACTGTGGCAAGGATTCAGGACTTTATCTTATGAGAAATGGGGCTGAAGCCAGGGTGTGATTGTATGTGAATTTGAAAAATTTGTTCTAGCTGGTGTGAAAAGAATGAAATGGGGAAAAGAGAGTAGATGCATAGATGCCAGGGAGAAGAGTTTCATGGGGGGCACACAATGAGGACTTCTGGAGATGCTACAAAGTAGGCAAACTTGAGAGACATGGAATTCCTGGGTGGTGCCAATTGTTAATGTGGTTGGCCACTAATGGAAAGGTTGGTGGTTTAAGTCCACACAGAAGAGACTTGGAAGAAAGTCTTGATTCTGAAAAATAAGCCATTGAAAACCCTGTGGAGTGTAGTTCTTCTCTGACACACGTGAGGTCACTAGGAGTCAGAGTCACCTTGACAGCAATTGGTTACTGGGTACATTAGGATTCGGCCTGAGTCCATGGTTCTAGCTGATCCATGGCAATGTAGATACCATACATGCCCAATCAAGAAGGAAAAGACCAACCATCCACATGGGAAGAGGGGGCAGTCACCAGAGGCCAGAGTGTGGGACTTTACCAAGGCCCCATGCTGGTGCCTGCTCGTCTCCCACCCACTGCACCTGAGCTATGCTTTGCTTCTTCTTCTGCCCTCAAATACCCCTCCCCATCTCCTACAGTTCTCAGCCCAGGATGACCTAGAGATCAAAGCCAGTGGCACCGGAAGAGGCACCATCTCGGTAGGTCTGGATCTCACCCTTGGCTGGGGTCCTTACATGGAGCGCAGGGCCCCCCTCTAGTTGGTGGGAGCAGGGGCCAGTCCCAGACTCTAAGACAAGATCGAAATTAGAAATGATGGTAGCTACCATCTAGGGCACTACTGTTTGCTGGGAGCCAGGCCATGAAGACTTCAAAACCACCCTGGGAAATAGGTTCAGGTAGGGACTCCATTCAACAGGTGGAGAAATGGAAGTTCAGAAAGATCTTCACTTGCTCTAAGACACAGTCAGGGAAGGTAGAGGCCAGATGTCTTTGGATCCATCTGCCCCTCCTATGAAGCCCTGGGTGGTGAAACAGTGCACTCAGCTTCTAACCAAAAGGTTGGCAGTTCTAATCCACCCAGAGGGGCCTCAGAAGACAGACCTTGTGATCTATTTCTGAGAAAATCAGCCACTGAAAACACCATGGAGCACAGTTCTACTCTGACGAACATGGCATCACTGTGACTTGAGATCAACCCAACAGCAACTGGTTTGGGTCTTTGGTTTGCCCCTCCTATGTATGCTGGGAGCTCTGGTAGTGTAGTGCCTAAGGCACTTGACTGCTAACCAGAAGGCTGGCGGTTCAAACCCACCAGCCACTCCTCAGAAGGAAGGTTGGGTAACCTACTTCCGTAGTGATACTGCCTCGGAAACCCAAGGAGGGGTCACTGTGAGTCAGGTCCAACTTGACGGCACATAACAACAACAACATGTATGCTGAGTCTGTTAGGGGGGTGTCTCCTTCTTTGCTTCCCCAGGGGAGATACTCCCCACAGGATGCTTGCCAAGGTCCAGATGATAACTCTACCCTTCTCCTAAATTTGAGCCAGTAGCCCCACAACATCTTCCAGCCCCAGACCCTCTGGCCCAGGAAGATAGACCTTTTGTTAACCAAACTCGGGGCAGCCTATTGTCATGGTTCAGGATATAGAGTCATGGTTGAAACTCTGACTTTGTTAGCTGACCTTGGGCAACTCACACTCCTCCTTGAGCTTCAGTGAAATTTAAATTTAAATTAAATAAAACTACACATCCACTTCCTCAGGCACACTAGCCACATTTCAAGTGCTCAGTAGCCACACGTGGCTAGTGGCTACCCTACTAGATAGTACATTTAGAGACCCCATCCATTACCACAGTTAGTTCACTAGACAGAGCTGGTCTAGACTCTAGAGAACATTATGGCTACTGCGTCTAAGAATTGAAGGGGGCAAACTTCACTATGAATTTCTCACCTGGGCAAAGACCTGGGCAGACAAGGACTGTAGTGAGGAGGAAGGGGAGAGGGTAGGGACGAGCTGTGACACCCCTTTCTTGCCTGGGCAGATCCTAACCATGTACCATAAGATCCCAGAGCCGGGGGAGGACACCTGCAATCAGTACCACCTGAATGTGACCCTCCACAGTGCGCTGGAAGGTGAGCTTGTTGTTGTTGTTAGGTGCCATCGAGTCATGTCTGACTCATAGCGACCCCATGCACAGCAGAACAAAACACTGCCCAGTCCTGCACCAGCTCCTGTGCCATGATCCCTGCTATATTTGAGCCCATTGTCGCAGCCACTGTGTCAATCCATCTCATTGAGGGCCTTCCCCTCCTTCGTCTACCCTCCACCCTACCAAGCATGACATCCTTCTCCAGGGAATGGTCCCTTCTGACAACATGACCAAAATAGGTGAGATGAGGTCTGGCCATTCTCGCCTCCAAGGAGCATTCCGGCTGCACTTCCGCCAGGACAGATCTGTTAGTTCTTTGAGCAGTCCATGATAACTTTCAGCATTCTTTACCAACACCACAACTCAAAGCATCAATTCTTCTTTAGTCTTCCTTATTCATTGTCCAGCTCTCACATGCATACGAGGTGACTCGAAATATCATGGCTTGTGTCAGGCGCACCTTAAGGTGAGCTTAGACTGTTTTTGTCGAGCCAATTCCAACTCATAATGACCCTACAGGACAGAGTAGAATATTCCCATGGGGGTTTCAAAGCTCTAAATCTTTACGGAAACAAACTGCTGCATCTGTCTTCCACGGAGCAGCTGATGGATTTGTGTGGCCGACCTTTTGGTTAGCAACCGAGTGCTTAACCACCAAGCCACCAGGGCTCCTATCAAGCCTAGACCCAGGGACACCCAGTCGTTCTTTTTATTGTTTTACTTTAGCTATGGGTCATGGAACATGCCCTATGCATCATGCACATGTATTGCTTCAGTCAGAGGCCCTGGGCGGCATAAATGGTAAACACACTCAGTTGCTAACCGGAAGGTTGAAGGTTTGAGTCTCCCCAGGGACCTCAGAAGAAAGCCCTGGTGATCTCCTTCCAAAAAAGTCAGCATTAAAAACCCCAGGGGGCACAATTCTACCCTGACACACACGGGGCTGCCATGAAGAGACTTGATGACAGGTGTTTGCTTGTTTTAATCACTTTATTCAGTCATTCAACAAGTATCTACTGGGCATTTACTGATGCCAGATCCTATTTCTTGGCACTAGGAACACAGGGATGAACAAGAAAAGACCCTCCTCCTGGAGCCCACATTCTAGTGTGAGAGACAAACAGTAACACACAAATAACAATATACTATACTCATGCTGTTATTTATAACATAAACAGTCTGTATTATAAACAATTATATAGCATAACAACAGATGACAGTAAGTAGCATACAAAATAAAATAGGAAAAGGTGGCACAGAGTTGAAGAGAGGTGTCATCTCTGCTGAGACATGGAGGAGGTGAGGGAGTGAGCCAGGAAGAGTTTGAGGGAAAAGCATTCCTGGCAATCAGAACAGCAGGTGCAAAGGCCCTGAGGCAGGGATGAGCTTGTGAGGAACAGCAAGGCCAATGCAGCTACAAAGGAGCAAGTGGTAGAGTTCTAGGAGAAAGAGTTGGAGAGGTGACAGGGAAGATGGGGAAGAGACTCATGGGCTTCAGTGAGAACTTGGGCTTTTGCTCTGAGTAGGGTGGGAGCCACGGAATGTTCCGAGCAGAAGAGGAACAGATCTGGCTCCAGAGTTCACAGGTGCCCTCAGGCTGCTGTGGAGGAAACAAACTGTGTGGTAGGAGGGTGGAGCTGGGAATCCAGGGAGGAGCTGATCGCACAGGCTCCGGTGGGAAATGATGGTGCTGTGCAGATGGTCAGAGATGGAGGGATTCCAGAGTTCAAAGAAGGAGAGCGGACCCTGCCGTTGGAAGCTCCCTGTGGGGATGAGGATAGGCTCACCAGGACTTCTTTATTTTAAAAAATTTTTATTGTGATTTGGGTGAACATTTACAGAGCAAAATCATTTTCCATATAGTTCATACATGTTTTGTTTCATGACATTGTCTGCAGTTCCCCACAATGTAACAGCTCTCTTCCCACTTCCTCCCTGTAGTTACCTCTTCCCTGTGTCCTTCTTTCCTATGCATGCCTGCCCCCTGAGCTGTCTCCCTGTGCAAACACTGCCCTTCTGTTCTCCCATGATTGATTGCTCTAAGGAGTTTATCTACCTGGTGTAACTGTTCACCCTATATTCCTGTCTACTGTTTGCCCTTATATATGGTCATGGGTATATTCCCTTTTGCCTAGACACACCTGATCATTCAGCCTGTCCACCCATCTATTTACCTGTAGATTAATGTTTGTTATCACTGATAACGCAGTATTGTGTATATAAGCGTGTTATGGTTACCTAGCGCTGCTCTAACAGGAAACAGCACAAGTGGATCCTTTAACAAACAGGAGTATATTCTCTTACAGTTTTAGAGGCTAGAAGTCCAAATTCAAAGTGCCAGGCTCTAGGGACTGGGTGAGAGCCCCTCGACCTTGGGCTTCAGCTCTGCCTCCTGCTCCCGGCCCACTGAAGCTGGAGGCTTTTCTTCACTCAGCTGCTGTCTGCAGAGGCTGACAAATCCAGGGTCGACAAGCAAAATGGCACAGTCCCAATATTACCAAATCACATGGCAGGCCATTGATTCAAGTCCATTAAGAGACCCAAGATCAGCACACAACATGGCAGGCTGCTGAACAACAACTCGGCCACATGCAGGGTTCAAGCAAGCCAAAAGCTACAGACCATTCCTAAATCTTCTCCTCATATCATGGGAGCAGCCTCCACCCCAATCCCAAAAGCAGCTACTCAGCTGCTCACAGTAGATTCCACCATGGAATTGATCACCAGTCTCATCATAGGGAATACTACATCCAGCTGCCAAGCCACTCAAAACCAGGCCAAGACAATGTTTTTACAAGTGTATTGCTATGTTCTGTAAGAATTCCCAGGTGTATAGTAGAGCTGACAAGGGACAGGGTTGTAGTCACTTCATGGGCACAGCCAGCTACCCAGAAGGAGCGAGTAGTTGGACCTGTGTGCTCAGGACCATAGTCTCAGGGGACATCAAGCTCAATTGGCATAACATACTACACAAAACATTGTTCCACCTCCTACTTTGGCAAGTAGCAACTGGGATCTTAAAAGCCTGCAAGCCATCTAAATGCAACAATGGGTCTCTCCTCAGTCAGAGCAAAGAAAAATGGAGAAAACCAAAGATTAATGGAAACAATTAGTCCAAGTGACTAACACACCATGCGATCCCCAGCCTGTATGACTATTAGACCAGAAGAGCTAGATGGTGCCCAGCTACCACTGTCAACCACTTAGAAGGGGATCCATGTAGGAGATCCTAGATAGAGTGGGAGAACAGTGTAGAAAAAAACTCAAAATCATTTGGGGAAAATAAAGAGGTGGGGGACTAGGTTTGCTGGTCTGATAGAGTCTGATGGAACCACTGAGACTATGGCCCCTACCTGCCCTTCAGCTCTGGAATTGAACCCATACCTGTGGCTTCCAGCCAAACAAAAGACAAACATATGAGGTGAACATTTGCACTAGGCAGATGCACTCCTTGGAGAGAACAATCATAGAAGAATAGAAGGGCTGTGTATGCACAGGGACATAGATCAGGGGCAAGGGTGCATGAAAAGAAGGACACAGGGAAGAAGTAACTATGGGGAGGAAGTGGAAGGGGAGCTGTTGCATTGTGGGAAATTGTAGTCAATGTCCTGAGACAAAATGTATGTGAACTGCTGTGAATTTGCTCTGTAAACTTTCACCCAAATCACAAACACATAAAAAAAAAAGTGATGCAGAATTATGATATATATATTTCCCAGCCAAAAAAAAAAAAGAAAAAAAGCAGGCCAAGACAAGTAGACATATAACCTTAACTATCATGAAAAGAAGAGCTCTGGTGGCATACTGCCTAAGGCACTTGACTGCTAACTAGAAGGCTGATGGTTCAAACCCACCAGCCACTCCTCGGAAGGAAGGTTGGGCGATCTACTTCTGTAGTGATGCCACCTTGGAAACCCAAGGAGGGGTTGCTGTGAGTCGGGTCTGACTCAACGGCACACAATAATGCAAAAGGGGTTCATCTTTGTTGTCGGCACCTCTCAGTGTCTTCTTTTTCCTTAGTGTTATTGTGTTGGTCACTCACTTTGGTATCTTGCCTTTCCCTTCACCCAAAAGGCCTTACTTATTAGGACTTTCAGGAATAAAAAAGCGCAGGACCCGGCAGTGTTTCATTCCGTTGGACACAGGGTCGCTACGAGCATTGGAACCAACTCCACAGCACCTAGCAACAACAACAAAAGTGACCAGAGCTTTGGGTTAGGTCCCATTTCCTAATAATAGTAATAGCAACGACTAACATTTATATAGCACTGACCAGGCACTGTGCTAAGTGCTGTCCTTATATTAACTCATTTAATCCTTGCAACAAGCTGTCAGGTTGGAGCTACTATGATTGTCATTTCACAGAAGAAGAAACCAAAGCACAGAGAGGTTAAGCCTTTTGCCCATAATCACACAGCAGTTAGGATGTGAACCCACGAAGCTGGCTCCAGAGGCCGTGCATTTAACTCATGTGCTACCCAGCATCTATACTCCTGTTTTCTCTCTGCAGAGAAGAAAAAAGGGGAGGAGACCTTCCACCTCCGGATGGAAACAAGGTGGGGCACCAGGATCTGGAGCTGGGTAGGGGGAGGGCCTAATGCTGTTACCCAGACTCTGTAGCAAACCTAGCTGTGCACTGAATGTAGGGCAAGAAACCAGCCAATCCTGGGGGAAGGGGCTTCCCAACCCCCCAGCCTGTCCATCACCACTCTCCCCATCTTATGCCAGATCCTGCCCTCCTACCCTTGTCTCCATCCCACCCTTCCTCCTGCCTTCCCATGAGTATGCCCCATCCTGCCCTCCATCCAATTCCCCATCCTGCCAAGTGTATCCCAGAATGACAGCCTCCAATATACCAACATGCTCTGTGATGCAGAGGCCCAGAGTGGGCTCCAAAGTCCACAGCTCTCCCTAGACCCAATCTTCTGCTTATACTCCAGCTTCTACCCTAGCCCTGCTGTGTCCCTCAAGCGTCCCCAGCCAGGTCTGCCCCAAATTTAAGCAATATTGAGCATTTGGAGTCCCTGGGAGGTGCAAACAATAGAAAGGTTGGAAATTCGAGTCCATCCAGAGATGCCTCCGAAGCAAAGCCTGATGATCTATTTCCCAAAACTCAGTCACTAGAAGCCCTACGGAACACAGTTCTACTCTGACACACATGGGGTTGCTGTAAATTGGGGTCAGCGTGATGGCAACTGGAAAGAAAATGCTCAATAGGTTGAGCATCTACTGTGTGCCAAGCTCTGTTCTAGAAGCTGAGACACAGCTGTGAGCAAGGCAGCCCCTCCCTTCCCTGGCAGGGCTCACAGCCCAGCACAGAGGAGTCAGATAATAACCAAATAATCACCCAACTGCGATTAAATGTGGCAAAGATAGGGCCTTCGAGGACCCATGGGAAGACAAGTCAGAGGAACTGGCCTAGTGTCTAGGAGGCAAAGGCTTCCCAGAGGGAGGGAGTGATGTGGCAGCTGGGCTGGCAAGATGAGGAGGTGTTTCAGGGCAAAGAGGGAGGAAAAAAGGATTCCAGGCTGAGGGAGGACGCGTGCAAAGGCCCTGTGCCAGGAGAAAGACAGCTACTTAAGAGCAAGAGGTTGGGGTGAGTGGGGGTGAGGCAGAGGGGTATCAAGCCTGAGACAAGGTGTTCGGTAAAGGAGGTCACAAAGCAGATTTGGGATTGCTCAAGCTCCCTGCTGTTGGGAGCAGAGTGGACACAAGGACGCCTGGAAGGAGGCTACTGCACTAGGCCAGGCGAGAGATGACGGCAGCTTGGAGCAGAGTGAGGGCAATGTGGGGAGAGGCAGCAGGACGGGTGGATGAGACACTGGGGCTGTGAAATCCTCAGGTTCCTGGGTGATCGAGAGGCCACGATGACCATGATGGAGGTCTCCCTGCTTACCGGCTTCTACCCCAACCAGGATGACCTCAAACAGGTAACACTGGACTTACATGCCCCCCAATGAGCCAGCGTGAGGGTGCTTGACATCCTCCCCCACTCCTATGTGGGTGCAGGGCAGCGTTCACCTCATGTCAAGGCCCCCGGGTTCATGCTTCATGGTCCATGGTCACTTTTGGTTGACTCCCTCCATAATCTTAGCAAAGTCCTTGCCCTGACTGGGCTTCAGTTTCCCCAACACTGGAGCTCACTGGATGAGAGCTGGGGTCTCTCCTCGGAGTTGCTTCATGATTATTGGAACTCTCAGGGTTGGGGGCCTCAGAGGGTCTCTGCCAACCCCCAACCACCTCCTCTGCCTCAGCTCACCAGTGATGTGGAGACATACGCCTTCCAGTATGAGACCAAGACAAGCTCCAGTGACAGCACTGTGGTCCTCTACCTGGAGAAGGTAAGGAAACCTTGTTGTGTTGTTGTTGTTATGTGCCGTCGAGTCGGCCCCGACTCATAGCGACCCCTCCTTGGGTTTCCGAGGCAGTATCACTACGGAAGTAGGATTGCCCA